TATAAATAAAAATGACTAAAAATTTTTATCTAATTTTGGTACATTTGTAGAGTATTCGTAATTAATATTTCGAGTTTTTTTCGAATTAATGTTAATTAATTAATTAATTACGAAAATAATGCTGGAAAAAAAGTATTTACCGATCTACTGCTGGGTTTAACCATGGTCAGGGAAAGTCGCCCAACGGTTTGGTGACTTATAAGTCGCAAAATCGTTTGGCTACTTGTAAGTCACAAAATCGTTTGCCTACTTATAAGTCGCCCAACCGTTAGGCGACTTTCCCTTCCATATGAACTCAGACCAGCAGCTACTCCCAGCCACGCACGATCGTGCCTGCAAGGGGCACGATCGTGCGTAATTCCGAAAACAGAATTTCATCATTTTTTTGCCCCAGTTCAACCCAAACTCATCTGTTTGCTTATATATAAATAAGATCTTCCTTCTCATGTTTAAGTGTTACGAGCCAGATACAACACATTATTAAACATACAACACACCTGTTCACAAACACATACGATAGTACATAACATTACTCTCAAAAACATACAAAACATCTTGTAAAGACCCTTTACAAAAAGAATACAAAACCTTAGATTCATAACCGGTAAACACACAGTACAATCATCCAATATTCATAACAAGTAATCATCTAATATTCATACTCGAACACATGAAAACAACATACAAGAGTTTAGAAGAGAAAATACGTAAAATGTTGTAAATTGTTCCTACAACATCTACTGTGCAAGAAAAACTGCAATACAAAAAGGCAAACTACAAGTTCTCATGATCATCTTGATCATCGTGGTCATGGAGATGTTGCTGCTGATGTCTACGCCTACGCCGTGGTCGTGGTTGAAGAACCACTCTCTCATGCTGCATCTGGGATGATGAAGCCGTCGTTGCACTAGACGTCGATGACATCTCCTGTGATGGGGGCATGTGTATAAGATGACCGTAGTCGACTCGCCCCAACACATCTGAACACAAGGAGGCAATGCCTGTAAGAGTCTGTCCATACATGTCCACATCATGAGTATCACTCACTGTGGCAGTAGCCCGCTGATGTATATGCTGCAAAGCTCGTGTCTGAAATATGAAACACAATTACAATTACATTGAAATACATACAAGTATTAACTAAATAAAATGACTTACTTTACTAATTAGTAATATACTCACCGTAAGATGCAAAGCCGAGGAGCTAGGCTGATAATGATGAGTAGGGAGTCTGAACGAAGGAGACACAAACAAATGAGTGATGTTGTAATACCATCCCATGTAGTCTCCTGAAATAGATGGGACAAATGTCGGTGTGCCAGTCACAACTAGCTCAGCTCACCTGTCCCACAGAGTGACATATTGGACATGTCTGAGTGCCCGATCCTCCGTAAGCTTCCCACGCCTATCCAGCCTATGAAGCTCTACATAAGTGTCGATAGGCCGTGGAATGACCTGCTCAAACACAAACTGTCGCAAGGCTCGATCAGGCAAATGAAGCTCAGCAATGTCAAAACATATCAACGGCACACGTGCTCGCCATATTTTGGAGTTTCAAAAGACCAATCCCACGAACACAACTCTTGGTTTCAGCTTGCATCTCTAATTCTTTCATCCGGAAATTCTCTTCAACACTGGTATATTCTGGAGCAAGGTCTCTATCCGTCTCAGGCAAGTACCACATTCTTCATCCTCAACCCATTCAAAGAAATTGCACTTTTGACCACTCAAGAAACGACCGCACCCATAAAAAATTTTCTCCCTATTTTTGTCTGTTGTAGTTGTCCACATTGGTACTTGGAGTCCACAGTCACACCTCTTAATTCGCCTTCTTGCATCCATCGACCAGGACTCAGCACTCGAAGAACTCATCGCCGTCGTACTCCCATTTCTTTATTTCCTTCACTGACGTCTTAGGACTACCTTAAACAAGAGGCTGAAGGGTTTTAATAATAAAGCAGAAAAGAAAAGCCACGTGTATATGCGTAAAAGAACCATTTCAAATTTAACCAAATAAATGATACCACGTGTAAGGGTCGGGCCCCAGGTGAGATAACGGAGTGAAATCTTCATTTAGATATCGAGTTTGTCTTCAAATTTTCAATAGAAAAAACTAACAAAATTCTAATATATCCAAAAGTCATAATTCACAAATAACTCACATTTCAATATGAAAATACCCAAATTTTGATATCTACATTCAAGTCTACATTTCAATACCCAAATTTAGCTACATTCAAATCTACCTAAATGCCCAAATGTCAAACTACACTTTAAAATTTACAATCAATTTAAAATCAAATTTCAACATTTCATACATATCCACATTTCACAACAACTCAATTCACAATCAATTCATAATCTAAAATTTTGAAAATTTTAACATTCAAAACCCTAAGTTCAAAATGAGATGAAATGAGGTTTGATTTACCTACAAGAAAGAAGAAAGAGTGTTGAAGATGAAGATGGAGGTTTTCCGGAGTGGGGTCGCCAGAGATGGAGGTTCGCCGGAGATGGAGGTTCGCTCGGTGGTCGTTCGTCCTTCGTCCTTCGTCGCTGCGGTTTGGGGGATTTGGGGATTGGGTTTACGTCATTCTGTTTTGTGGCTGGCCGACGTTTTTACTTAAGGGAAAGTCGCCCAACCGTTGGGCGACTTATAAGTCGCCCTACGATTGGGCGACTTACCACGACCATGATTAACTGATGTGAGTTTTCTCGCACTTAAAATAGATTGTAGTATAGTGGTGTAAGTACGAGTATCGTCTCCACAGGGACAGACAAAAGGGAATCAAAGATTAACTAAATTCAGCGATTAAAAAGAAATAAATAAAAATGTGTCGTGCGAGATTAGTTGCTGGAAAATAAAAATGCGAATAAAATGATTAAACTATGGGATTCTTTGTAATTAATGACGAAGGGAATGGGGATTGATTCCGGGGTAACCAGATTTCTGGCAGACCAGGCCTAATTACATGAAATTAATTCAATTGAGCCTAGCTAATCATTACTAAGTTCTTACCGCTCTCGCGGCGTAGAGTACAATAATTTAGGGGATCATGTTGATCTCTCATGCGACAAGATCCTAAATTATTGCCAAGACGAGCGAGCTTACAACCCCTTAATCGCTACTAATCTCTTAGCGAACGATTAAGTGTGTGTGAATGTGCCCTAGAATAAACTAGATCTCTCTTAATTTATTCTATAAGCAATCGTTATTTTAGCCGCAGTTCCAGGTTACAAAAGATATCAATTAAATTATTCAAACACAAATTAAACGGCATTCATGCAATTAACTCATCAAGAATCTAGCCATACATCATGATAAACTCCTTCATCAATCCCAAATCCCTAATTAAAATTACTCACAACTTATAATTGAAGAATCAATAGAATTGGGAAAAATAGAATTAATTATCATTAATTAAAAAGTTGGAACTTACAAAGAATCCCAAAAGATTGATGAACAAGGCCGAAAAGCCCTCTAAACTTTGTACTAGGCACTCTCTCTAAGCTCCCCCCTTGAAAACGGGACTTTACAGATTGTTTAAATAGAAAATCGGGTAAAATTTGAGCTGAATTAGGATTTCCGGAGGCAGGCACGGTGCCAGGCACGATTGTGCTTTCGATCGTGCCTCCGGAGCAAAAATGCGCATTTTGGACAGGCACGATCGTGCCTGCCTGGCAGTAGCTCCACGATGCTTTCTGTTCACCCACGATCGTGCCTACGTATCTTCCGAATTTAGCAATGCTTCCTTCATGAAAGTTGTAGATAATGAATTCCTCTATCCACCCCAATTTACCGAATGTGATTTGAATCATCCGATCAAGAGATATGATCAAAACGGTGGAAGGTATCATTCTGAAATCGCAGCAGAGATCATCTGACTTCATCGTCTATTTTCACCTTCTTTTTCTCAGATTCTAGCAAAGGGTGTCTGCATATGATTTGTAGCCCTTGAAGTTAGCTTTCATATGGACTTTGAATGTTTCTACAAAGAGATATGCTTGAACGATTGAAAGAAGGTCATCCTGATCGCCGATTTCAAGCTCCATTCATCTTCTTTTTATCCCGTAGCCAATCCTAGAGCTCTTTTTCCTTCAAATCTTCATCGTGAACCTCCCGGTGACCTCCAAAGCTCTCAAATCACTCTCGAATGCTTCTCAACTCATCCTGATTTCTTCTCAAACGACGGTGCCGAACTCTAAAATCCTCATTTTGACTCCAAATGACACAAAACTCGAACCAACATCTGGTAAACATAACTTGAGCTAAAATTGAGACTTGTAACACCTTAAAGCTAGGGAAAACCATCAAACCTGATCCCAACATGCATCAAATGTGTGTCTAAATACGGACTTATCATTAACCCAGCAGTATATTGGTAAATACTTTTAACCCAACCCTATTTTCGTAATTAATTAATTAATTAACATTAATACGGAAAAAAACTCTAATATTTCATGCTTAAAAATATTTAGTTTGCAAATTTTTGAAAGTATTTTTACATTTTCAAAAAATTTAGAGTCGATAGTTGGGATTAATAAAAAAATGTCAACTATAGTTGAGATTATTTAAAGCTTACACATAGTTCATATTTAAAAATGACCTGATATACCAAATGTAACAGGTTAGGAACCATTTTTGGAAAATGGTCCCTATAGTTGGAAAACCCAGGAAAAATCGATACTTGAGATTATTAATTGCGGACCGGCAAATCGACAATAGTTTAAATTATTATTTTCAATTTTTTCATTTTTTTATGTTCCTCAAAGTAAAAATGTAAGTTTTGTCATGAACTGGAAAAAAACGATGTGAAATATTAGAACAAAATTTCGAATAACTTAGATAGTTAAATTTACTACGAAACAAGCAAACTGTACTGATCGTTGATCGATTTGGATAAAATAAAATGAACTTCAATAAACCGGGGTCCGGGGTAAATCTATATATATGTTAATTCACTTAAGTCCCTTTCCCGCTCAATGACCAGGGACATTTGTGTAAATACAACTAAGCTTTTATTCTTCCTATTCTTCCGAAATAGGGCTCTGGACTTCTTTCGACTTTGGATATTAGACTCGCTTATTCTCGAATTTAACTCACATAATTAGAGTCTCGAACGACTCTCGAATACAACTCTGTTATCTTCCAACGAATCAGATTTATCCGACTTCAACTCAAAAGAGTCCATCAACACCAAACTTCGAAACATTCGTAAGTATTCTCTTAAATCTAACTTTATATATACATATATATCTGTCGCACCCTATACGAAATTATCTCCAATTTCGTTTCCCATCTACAACTCCGAATTCTTCCTTCAACTGCAATGACCCGAATTCCCCTTTCAAAATCCTTTTGAAGGATGTTACTATGCAGCTGGACGACAAGGATGTGCTATTGCTGAGAGTCGTACATATGTGGATTATTCCTCACAAGGGAAATTCCTCCCAGCCCTACATGATTGACATGGTTCTCATGGATTAGGAGGTAAAATTCGTATTAATTACCCATTATTTAGTGTACTTTGCATTTTGTTTGGTGCTTTGCTCTAATTTCTACAACTGCCATTACCAATGATATTTAATTCTGTCTATTTTGTGAATACGAGCCCCTTTTTCCCATTCAATTGGTTTTAACTTTTAAACGGTTTGTTAACTATTTATTTATATGCAAACTTTTTAGTCATGCTTTTAGTTACGTTGAGTAGTTTTTGAAGTGCCAAGGTTTAAATTACTTGCTTTAATATATGCATACATGTTGGGATGTCTGGCCAAGGTTTAAATTACTTAATGTTGAATACATTGTTGGAGACTTGCCACACACAAAGCATACAAATAGATTAGTTTGATTAACGATTTGTTCTTTAATGAATATAGCAGTTTAATGGTCCTTTTGGATGATGTCCCTGAGCAAACTGCTAAATATCAACTAAAATAAGTAATATTAAAATGACCAAAATGTGTATTGATTAAAATGACTCTAAGAATCTGCTATGTTAATGAACACAAAATGGAAATGACTAAGAATATTGAAATTGCTATGTTTATAATCTCTTGGGCTATGATTTAATATGCCTATAACTTGGTTATAATTTTATTCAAGTATGAGAGTACATCACTGAATTGCCAGCCCGCTGCTTACTTTTTTCGATAAAATTAGGATAATGTCCCTGAGCAAACTGCTAAAGATCAAGGTTTAAAATACTTAATATTGAATACATTGTTGGAGACTTGCCACACACAAAGCATACAAACAGATCAGTTTGATTAGATATTTGTTCTTTAAAATTTGTTCTTTAATGATTAAAAACTTGGTTATTTTTTCTTTGACTATGAGAGTACCCTAACTAATATATCAGCCTGTTGTTTTCTTTTTTTTGACAAACTAATATACCAACCTGCTGATTTTTTTTTACAAACTTTGGGAACTAATAGGGCCTGCTGCTTTGTTTTTTCTTTGACAAACTTTTGAAAAAATAGGCTTAACCAATTTTAAGTTCTAAAAACATACAATGAATGATTTAATGAATCTGAAGACTTTGTGACTTGGTTAATATTTCCTTCAACCATGAAAGGACCCTAAAAAATATGCCAACCTGTTGCTTTCGTTTTAATTTGACAAACTTTGGGGGAAAATATGGCTTGTTGCTTTGTTTTTTTGACACTTTGGAAAAAATGACTAAAACGTGTATTGATTGAAATGACTCTAATCCATCTGCTATGTTTAACTGTGGCAAGGGACTAACAATCTGTTATGTTAATGAACCCACAATGTAAATGACTAAGAATATTGAAATTGTTGTGTTAATAATATGCTATGTTGAGATAAAGTTAATTTTCTCTCAAGATGAAGCTTACTTTTGCATCCTTTTTACTCAACATTTAAGCTTTTAGTTAGTTATCTTTTCTTTTCATTGTCAGGTCAGAATCTTAGAATTAATGTCAGCCATTTTTACCTACCTGCATTTTTTTCCTTTGATCTTTTTAAGAAAGAAACATTTAGATCAAAATACTTATTTGATCTTTTTGTTGGTCATTCCTTACACACAGTAATCAGTTAGTTTCAGAACAAATCCCAAATAGTTGTTATTTGATCAGTGTTGTCCTATATATATGTTATTTATTTATTTGTTAGTTAATCTTCTAAAAAGTAAACAACTTTTATGATACAGACTTCAGAATGATCTGTCAAAATTGGCTCTCAATGTAAGAATCTGCTATGTAAATGACCAAGAATATTGAAATTGTTATGTTAATAATCTGCTATGTTGAGATATAGTTAATTTTCTCTCAAGAACAAGATGACAAAGACAGAATCAATATCTCTGTAAGCTTTAATAGTACTAGAATACAAAAAATAGCAAGTCAGGTCAGAATTTTACAATTAGTGTCAACCATTTTTACCTAGCTGCATTTTTTTCCTTTGATCTTTTTATCAAGAAACATGTAGATCAAAATACTTATTTGATTTTTTTGTTGGTCATTCCTTTCACACAGTATCCAAGGTACTTGGGAAACAAATCTGGGATAGTTGTTATTTAATCAGTGTTGGCATATATATAAATATATGCCAACACTAAAAAGTAAACAACTTTTATAACACAGATTTCAGAATGATATGTCAAATTGAAAAAAAAAATTGATGACTTCATCTCATCTTATTTTTATGCAGGGAATGCGCGTACAAGCTACGATTGAAAATGCTCATGTTTCTGATTTCAAGGACAAAACCAAGGAGCACGGTCTTTATGGAATAATGTGTTTTGAAGTTAGGGCTAATAATGGTGATTGCATGCCTACTTCGCATACTTTCAGGTTATTTTTTAAGGAGAATACAAAGATGAAGGAGCATGATCTTTCATTATAGACAAAATTCCCAATGGATTTGTATTCACTAAAAAGTTTCACCGAGATTTAAAGTACACATAGGAGAGCTGGAGATGACTTATTCTGTAATAAGTCATAACATCTCATCCATATTTAAAAACTTTATCCTCGCTGAACTCAGTTTTTTCCTTCTTTGGCTTTTGCAGATACAATTGGAAAGTTTAGTATGACAACATCAAATTTTCCTTGCAAACAGATGGATTGCCGCCACGAGCAGCAGAATTCATACTCGAAGACCTGGAGTATAAACTCACATCATAACAATCTTTTAGAAGTAATTATGTAACAACATTATGCATTTACATGAGTTGCTGAATCTTGCATTTGTTGTATCAATGTTTTATATCAACAGTAAAAAGCAGTTGTCGTGTACACTATGGGGTGAGCATGCACAGGCTTTGAGGAATATTCCCAATACCTCGGTTGAACCACACATCATGTTGCTCCAATTGTGTAGAGCAAAGAGTGACTAGGGTAAAGTATTTTTTAATTGATATAGTATACTTATTTATGTATTCTCTATACTTCATGGAGATAACATATTTAATATTATAGGTGATGTCATTCTTGCAAACTCCTTTTATTGTACAAAGGTTATAGTGATGAGAGTATCCCTGAAATTGAGAACTTCCATACTAAGTAAGTGCTTCTCCCCTCAAATTGATTTAATATAGATTGGTAGCACTAAATGCATTCATAAAATACCTTTGTAATTAAAATGTTTATTCTATCAGCAAAAATATACGAATATTTAGAATATAAAAAATGAAAATGATATGTAGAAATCAAAATCATATATTAAACATTTGAATTTATATACTTTTACTAAATATTGATTATCAGTTATTTCTTGACATCTAACTTTGATAAGGTGCTGAGAGATCAGAGGCGCAAGAAACGAGCATCAATTGTTGACTGAGTCTTCATTTACTTATTAGTTATTGTATATTTGTTTAAATGAGTCAGCATTTAGAGAAATAAGTTAGGTTTGGTGTCATGCATCAGTCCACTAGATAGTTATTAGATCATGGATCACTAGGTAGTTATTAGATCATGGATGAAGTCAGTTTACCGCTTACGTCAGTTATTAGTCGGTTATTAGTCAATTGTATTTCTTTCTCTATAAATAGCCTAGCAATATTCAAGCTAGGCATGCATGAATCAATATTATTTTCAGACCTGGAGATTCTCCCTTGGCTTCTACAACCACTCATTTGTGAGATACTCCCTCCGTCCCAAATTTATCTTCATAGTTACTATTCACATGGTCAACTCAAATTACTCTTAATCTTTTACTTTATATATCAAATTTTTATCAAACTTAAATTTTCTTGATCAGACTTTGTAGCGGATTTAATGTAGTTTCTGAATATGTAAATTTAATTTACTAAAAATAATCTGTGTGAACAGGGATCAAGTTGCTTTATCGTCAGTCAAGCATCGTAAACTGAACTACGAAGATAAATATGGGATGGAGGGAGTACTTACTGTGAGAAGAGAGTAGGAGAGTTTATTCACTCCATATCTTCCCTTTAAATCTCTGAACTTACCAAACTATTTACCTTTAAGATTGGATGAATAGTTTGCAATTTCTAAGGTTAGGCTATTTGAATTTTAATTTGACTCATTTTTACATATTACTCTGTACTTCGTTTTAAATATATTTTAATTGTCAACGTAATTTAGAGGTCTCGATGTTGGATTTTGGTAAAATCACAAATATTTTCAATCGAAGAGTTTGGTCTTATCAAGGGTGTGTAAAAGAGTTTTGCTCTAAAAAAGCCTATAATCACGGTGAGAAGTTTAAGTGCTCTAAATGCAATGAAGTGTTCGACAAGGGAATACATCGATATAAGAATACTGTCATGGTGAAGGATTCTTCAGACTCTAATCTGTTACGTTGTGTCTGTGGGATCACGTGTGACGTTTGTTGCACAAAACTACAGGACAAGTGGACAACTCAGATAACATTTGAATCTGGTATGATAATTCATAATAATTGTTTTAATTAATTATCTAAAAGTATGTTAAACATGTGTTTAAATAAATAATAAATTTTTATATTTTTGATCTTTCAGCGTGGCATTCATGAGACAGCGACGTCAAAAGGAAATTGACGATTTAGTGGGTCTGCATCTTTTGTTTAGGATTGATATAAGCGAGGAAGATTTTATAAAAAAAAGTGGCAAAGTTTTTTCCGTGAGGTGTGTCACGCAAAATGATGAGCTTATGAACCATTTTCTGACAAGTGATGGACAAAAAGTGGTATGTAAATGAATGAATTTATATTTAATTTTGTTCACGTAAACCTTTTCACTTTTAATGCCTAACGACTTCATCTGTTCATCAAGTGCGAGTAACACTTTAAATAATTTAAGAAACAAATTTTGAGTGGAATATTGTATCAGTTTTATTTTGACATTTCTGATCATATCAGTGTCTTTCCATTTAAACTGTAACATAGCATTCCAAAATTTAATTTCATCTATGGATTAATCATGACCATATTTAAATATTAAGAATGAAATATTTAGAAATAATTTATGTTATCATTGCATTTCAGACTATTAATGATAGCACGACTACTACCCCAATTTCGAAGCGACGTTTGTCGGATGATGTGGAAGGATGTGATGGAGGATCTTTTACTCAAAACTTCACTAGCAAACTAGAGAAGACTATTAAGGTTGAAAAACCAAAAGTCTTTGAAGATAGGCGTTTGAGGTGTAAGTTAAAGAAAATATCTTTACTATTTGATTAATAGTCACTTAAGCAGACATTTAATTATTGCACAATTGCTCATGTTTTTTTTGTCCAGAGATGATGTTGTTGAGTTCGTTTGGTTTTTATTACTTAATGCTAGATACAATGCTGGAACTTACAATTACAATAGTTTATGCACACCTTCAATTATACACAACAAAACATGCATATAATTTTGGGTAATAAGTAATTCCTCGTCTACCCCAACGACCCTAACATCAAACTGCGGGTCTTCCATGACATTGGAATGGTTTCGCGTGCTAATGATCAGTTAGCTATTTTGGCACCACATGTAGAGGTGGACTCGGGCCGGGCCTAGGCTCGGTCGAGCCGCCGGTTTTTATCACATGGACCCGGGACCGGCCCGAGGGTTGGACGGGTCTGGTTCGGGCCGGGCCACCCGCCTGGGTCACGGGTCGGGCCGGGCCGGTCAACTATTTCCGGAACCGAGCCCGCCCTGCCCATCCCCACCGCTTCGGGTCTACACCTGGTCTCGGACTGCCAGACCGGGCCGGTGCTGGGCCCGCACAGTAGCGGGCCGGGCCGGGTGGCCCAAACCGAATCCACCCCTAACCACATGTGATTTTGGACGCTATTTTGGCACCACATGCGATTCTGGTCTTAGACAAACTGATGTTGATCAATCAGTATATCTCTTGAGGGTTCATGGAGTTTCTTAATAAAAACACTATTATTAGTTTTCATAAACCAAACAATTAACAGTATGATTTTTTCCAATTATTTTCAACACTCTTTATTGAAGCACACTTATATTTCATTTCACATACTTTGTGTCATTTATCAGCATTGTTTTTGTATTCCTTTAGTTGTACTTCTATGAGATGATTAGGAATTTGATATAGCTCTTTACTTTATTCAACTAACATATCAATTTTTCTTTTCTCTTACACCTCTTGAAGCTTCGAGAGAAGATGAGATTTATCATTAGAATCGTCAACTTTTTCAGGAGTTATGAGATCAATTTTGTACAAATTTGACCTTCATGAAATATATTATATTGGATGTAAATTGTTGCTATATTTCAAAAGACTCTTGATTGTTTTCGTATTAACATTTGTAGTAAGTTCTTAATAATGCATTTATTAAGTCCATATATGCGTGAGGCTAAGTTGCAAGAATCGTTACCGTAAACTCACTTTTTATACATGTTGATTTTTTTGAAGGACTGCTATATTGATACATAATAAAATATAATGTACAAATTAGTTGATACTGCGTACACTTGCATATAGTCAAGAACGTAAATTTTAATTTGATTAATTGATTGGGAAATTTCAAGTGATTCATAAATAATTCCATAATTTCTAATCCCGTGCAACGCACGGGTGAAAGACTAGTTTATATGTATTTCGGTTTAGTTAAAAAGTTAAATAAAACTATATAAATGCATATGCATATATACAAATATTGTTTAGATAATCACGGAGAATTATGTTAGTTCAGGTAAATCAAAATGCAATAAAAATTCGTTTTGGATTGAAGACGACCTTGGTGAAATTATTAAAACTAATAATGAATGGAAAAAACTTCAATTTGGAAAACCTTCGATTGAGACCTCTAAAATTGGGTTACCGGAGATTCTCCGATGTAAATTTAAATTCTCTAAACACAAATGAGGTGCACCAAAAACTAACACTCTAGAACACCTTATGACTCCGAAGAAATGGACCACAAGTCTTGATATTAAGAAGGAGAAGGCTTCCCTAAAGAAACGATGAATTTACAAATAAATAAATACACTAAAGATATATGTCAAAAAGAAATGAATAAATGGAGCACCAGGAGAATCATAATACAATGCTGGCTTTCAATGGAAAGCAATGCTGCAGATGATGGTGATGTTGGAGGAGTCCTACTCGCGGTGGCAGGAGGAAATGCAATACCAAAAGGATTTCTCTGCCGTTGATCTGTCGGCAATGGATTTTCCAACACCCCACTCTGTGGAGGCGTTATGGCAGCTGCCTTATCTGCCTCTCGACCTGCCAAAATACAAGACAGATATTATAACATGCTTTTTTCTTTTGAGCTCGTTTGGTAGCCCTCTTGTATGACTTAATCACCAGAATCATTATAATAAGTAGCTTTTGGTGTACTTAATGTTTCCTTTAGAAGATTCACCAATTTAAGTTAAAGACACATACCAAACGGACTTTAGACTACAAACTTTGATGTGCTATGCAGCGTATTTTACTTACAATTAGAAGCCGACCAGCCCAGCTTCAAGTTCTCCCAATCAAATACCATCCTGTATCCAGTCATAAAGTTTTCTGCAAACCATAATTACAGGTGGTTTGTAATAAAATTTATGAAATGAGTATACATGAGCTACACCTTAGAAGGTAAATTGACAAGAGCTACTCACGTCCGATAAGTCCATAAGCCCCCTCTGTTTCTTGTATACCCAAACAGTAAAATTTGTCTCCCTGCACCAAAAAACTTTATTTGTGAGAGATGCTTTCCATCAAATACTATGCTCAATGTATATGAACATAATAAACACAACTACTGCTATTGAAAGAACGAACTTTTACTGCTTTCCTTCCTCCCTTATAATCTTATACTATCCTCCGTATCATAATAGTTGAAACATTAGGATTTACACACTATTCATGTACTCTACTTTGACTACATTTTATTTATTAACGTATGCGAATTTATTATTTTTTTTTGAAAAATATTGTTGAATTCGTGTCATTACGAAGTTTCATAATCTGATTTTTAAAAGTGTTTTACTGATACAGAATTAAATATAATGATGGTCAAAGTTGTGCATTGGCAAACGTGAAAAAATGAATGTTGCATCTAAAAAAGAACGGAGGAAGTACTACGTATATATAAGGGATTGTTTAGTTAGGGGATTCTTAAGGACAGAAATGTACATTTAGTTAAATCACGTGTTTATAAATAATTGTTTGTCCTCGGTTTTTTTCCAACCATATAAAGGTAAGACTAAAGTAATAAAATGAATATCACCCTCCCCCAACGCAAATACGAAATCTCCCAATCAAAGAAGGGCTTAGAGTCTTCAGCTTATAAGAAGCTGGTGGCGGCTTAGGAGATTGAGTAACTCACCTGAGAGTTGGGAACAGGAAACATGGGATTCTGAACCACAAAGGTTTGGTTGTTAGGAAAGATGAGCTTCATACTGGGAAAGTTCGGTAAACCCTGTGAACTGCAGTTGAAAGAAAAAATCAACACAGGCACTATATGAAATGAATCCATGGCATAAAATAAAGAGAGTTATAAATATAAGCCACCATTACCGAGCCTTGTAGCAGTAGGGAAAGACATCTATGGGAGACCCAGTATCATTCATCAGTTCATCAAACTACCAAAACCATAAAAAATTAAAAATGGATGTGACTGTGTGTTCAAACAGAACCAATCCTTTAATGTTTTGAACAAGTTTAATAGTAAGGATTAAGAGCATGTACCTTATTAACAACTTTCTGATAGATCTCAGAAGGTAGGAAGGTAAAAGATGTACCACTATCAACCTGTGCCTTAAACCCAGATTGTTTTAAACATGAGCCCGCAAGACAATAGTATTCTGCCTCCACAATGTATGCATTACTGAAAAAATATTCCAACAGTGTTACTGGAAAAAGATTACAACACAAAAGAAGGATGAACGAGAACTTTTTAAGCTCTGATGAAAAATAAGATAATCATCATGAAGGCTGCAGAAGTGACATACTAATTCCCTTCAAGTGGCAAAAAGGGAGTAAATCTTTGGCTTCCAGGCCCTTGATCACCAAAGAAAAGGCTGCCAGAATGGCTCTTGTCGAAACAAAAAGAAAATGAATGTGGGACCAATCCAGAAGTTGCTAGCTGGCTTGGAACTGAGATCTTTCCAGGTCCCAATCCCAAAACACCATCTGGAGCTGCCCCATCCAAATAGCCACCAGTCTGTTTGTTTCCACAGCTGCAATTGCATATTTAGGGTTTGTTTGGGAGTTAGCTTTTGAAGTGGATGAGAAGGGAGGAGTTATTTTTTATTTTAAAAATACAGCGCTGCACTTTAAAGTGATGTTTTTCAAAATAAAAGACACTACCACCGTTTTTTATTTGAAGCATATTTTTTTGGGAGTACACGAGATAAAATTATAATTAGTAGAACTATTGTAATTATTTACTTATAACAATAAACCAAAAAAATTAGGGAAAATTGTCAATTTGGTCCTCGTACTATAACGAAAAAGTCAATTAGGTCCTCGTACTTTTAAAAAAAATCAATCAAATCCCCGAACTTTGTAAAAACGTTCAATTGAATCCATTTGCATATTCTTGCCATGTCAGCAGGTCACCCGATGATGTGGCGCATACATGGCGGTCCACATGTGTGCCACATCATCGGCAAATGACTGATTGGGCTTTCACATGTGTGCCACGTCAGCAAAGTCACTGCTAATTGGGATGCCACATGTGTGCCACGTCAACGGTGACCCACTGACATGACAAGTAATCTGCAAAAGGACTCAATTGAACGCTTTTACAAAGCTCCGGGATTTGATTTTTTTTAAAGTACGAGGACTTAATTGACTTTTTCATGATAGTACAAGGACCAAATTGACAGTTTTCCCAAAAAATTATGTTACTTCAAAAATAAAAAGTAACCGCTCTGCCTTCCCTCAAAATTAATAAAACCGATTTCCCAAATATGCCCTCAAGAAACATGGAAATCCTCTTCACCCTATTACATCTATATCATGAGTCAAACAGGATCATTGCATCATACCCTATTATAATCTGCGGAAGAGCAGAGGCTTGATGCAAATGTTCACCGGTTGAGATCAAATGCAACTTATCCTCAACAAGAAATCCTGAACTTGATGTACCGTCTGATGTATAGTTAGCCATGTACGGACAGTGCTCCTTAGAGCTTTTGCAATCAAGGCTAAGTTCACATAGTTGATGGCTGCAAGGAAGGTACTTGCTGGAGCTGGATCGGGATGGACTGTACTCGTTCATATCTCTATCCTGCATAATACATGCCCCAAACATGAGGGAGCACCTGCCAATCAATCCCTGGAGAATTCACTGCTAAAACCGGTATTTTACTAGTTGAAAATTTGGGTAGGACCATTGGAGTTAAGGAAACATATATTGGGTTAACTGGTACATACTGCATACATGCTGACAAGCCCAGATAATTGACTAATACTTGAACTTCAGATTTTTTTGGAATTAGTAATGGTGTTTGAAGTATGGAATTCTTGTGTGTGACTTTTTTTTGGCAAATTGCATGAAGAATTAGCTTCGTTTGATCAAAAGGAACTATTTTGGGACAAAAATAGCCTTTAAAACATGATTCCTTTTTGGGATAAAAAAGCTTTCATAGGTTTTTATTACAATACATTACAGAAATAAAATATTCCTCCAATACTGGATCAAACTTGGTGTTTTTCCTTCCATATTAATAAGGCAAGTATGATAGTTTACTCCTATTTAGAAAAAAAGGTACTTCTGTTTAGGGAAACCACCTTGTGTTTACTCCTATTTTAGGAAATTTCCCTTGGTTTTAATGTCACTGCCAGTAACAAAGTGATACTGCTAGTGACATGCTGCCGTCGGTATCGCTGTGACCGCCAGCATCAAATTCCGGTGATTTTTACCCGCAATTTTTCCTGCAACAGTTTTGGAAATTTCCCTAGAAAACTGTTCCGGCGGCGGCAGATTTTGACGTCTTCTCAAATGCTTTTATGGAAAACTTTTGTTGATGGCGGGAGCAATGGACAGTTATGTGGATGTTGGAGAGAGAAGAAATTTGAATAATTCAGGGACTTGAAGTTATTTAGTCACTTTTTTCAAGAAAGTAGTCATATTTTTGCCACCCGAGACTGTAGAAGTCATTGATGTGCTATTCTTTGTGCTATTCTTTCTTAAAACTTATATGAATTAAACATTGTCATTTTCACTGAGTAAGACTGGCATGTTCTTATTACTAAAGAATTGTTTATCTATTTGGCCAGCATACTAACATGTTTTTATTCCTAAAACAGTATTTGTTTAACCATACAAGTATTGGTAATCATTTAGAGGAAATCTATTATGTTCTAGTCATACTGTCATAGTCAAGGAAATTTATCACACCGGATTTGTGAATGCATGAATTTAGAGCTTGTCATAAGGAGAACGTTCAACCCAATGCGAGTTGCAGGCTAGTAGCATACCAAAACATTGTAATAGCTTGAAGACAATGGAGCACACTGTATACAGTCACAAGGAACCCAAAGCAAATCACTTCCAGCATCTAACGCAACAAGAAATGAAACATTTGGTGTACCAATATCAATCCATGCATAATGCAACCTGCCCAAGGTGATACCGTAATCAAATTTTAAATTGTGAATAATGATATTCTTTGATAAAACATCAATCAATACAATAATTTCAGTCAAGCAACATGATCAGGGACCTTTTGGACTAATCTAGAGCACAACCACGAGTATAGTAAATACCTTACCTAAAAAAATGAACAAATAGGAAAAGATTTTAACTCAAGATATTGCAATAACAATAGAAAGCCCCTAAAATATCAAAAAGAACAAATAGGAAAGTCCCTGATGAAGAGAGATAGTCATGAGTTTTTAACTACATACAAAAATCTCATGCAGTTCAGGCAATGGTTATATTAGAGTTGAACCCCTTGATAAATAATGACAAAGCCTTGGGATACAGACGCTTGTTGCAGCAATTTTACACAATAATCACCTACTCACCTCATAATCTTATTAAACAGACTAGAAAGCAAACAACAGAATCAAAACAAATCAGTTCGTGCATCTACATTGCAGCATAGGGGATTGTGTTTATTTAACAAAAAGGAAGAAAACCTTGTTTTGCAATAGTAATGGATCAAGTTCCAAGGATATTGGAATATCCTTAAATAATGTTCTCTGATTTAACTATTGAACACTATAAGAGTGAAATGGGTAAAAGAGACATCAAACAATAAACTTCATGTTGTTGATCCATAGTAGACATTAAGCTGATAAGTAACGACTATTGTTAAGAGAAATTTATGTGATGATTATGATGAGTTGATGACGAGCAACTCATTCAACCTCATCATTGCTTTCCTCCCCAATCCACAACTACACAGAATGAGATATAGTTACATCATTTCTCAAGGCTGCACAATACACATGAATGGAATAATGGTTCTAAAATCTATCTGATACCTCAAACTGCCTCCACAGGCAAATTTTTAGTTCACTAGCCTATCTGGATGCGGACAACAAATTTGTTAATATTGGATATTCAAACTTTGTATCTTTACAGAAGTTCTAGAGATTACTGCTTTTGATCTTCTAGAATTCTCAAATGTAACAACGTGCGCAGTGCACACATGGCATGAGATAGATACTCTTCATGGACCATTTTATTCCCCTTTTGATTTGTCAAGGTTTTCAAGAAAATGGGAATTGTATGATTAAAATTTGTTTAGAGGGGTCACAGGCAATACCAACCAAGGTAGTCAAACTCAAGACCCTGCGTAGGATCATGTAGAGAAAGAAAGATCTAAATCTTAAGATCGTGATACAGATATAAGATTCTACGGTGTATGTGTGTGTACACACATGAATGTATATTTATATACATATATTAACATATAGATACACTTGTAACACTATCTTAAAACAAAGCAGGAAAAAGCTTGATTAATTAACTAAATTGGCAGAATACTAGAAGCTGGCTTATCATAATTGAAAAAGAACAATATATATGGCTGGCTAACAGACTGTAATTTGTAGATAGTAGAAGGAGATGTCATGTAGATGTTCATAACAGAGGATTTGTCAAACATTGAGAAATGACAATAATAAGTGTTACTCTGCGTATAAAATAAAAGCACGATAGCTGAAGACTGAAACTGAAATGCTGTACTAATGCAAAAATTTTCCTTGAAAGTTTCAGCATGTTTCCTAAATTCTCTTTTCTTTTTCTGGCATCTTCTTAGTTCTCTGACTTCTCTCTTTTCCTTTTTCTGCCGTTTCTGACTTTCCCTCCATTCATTTATTTCTGTTTCCTTTTCTACTGTGGACCGGGTAGGCTTCTACCAATTTTATGATTCTAAGCATCTAGAACGCCGTATGTAAGGTGAGTCATAAACCTGTCTTATTCTACGAGTTGGATTGCGATCTTGACTACCACGGTACCAGCCACAAGATCCTTCATAAAGGAAAGAGGAGGATGGACGAATAAAGAAAGAATAAATAATGAAAGGGACAGAGTAACTTTTCACATATGTCTATATTTTGGTAATGTTTTCTCCATAATGTGAAACACAATGTCCAGTTAAAGAGACTGTACTTGACATGGTAGAGAATAATTACCAAACATATAAACAAAAGTGAAAGTTTAGAAAGAGAAATTTGACCTAGTTACATTAATGTGCTTGCATATCTTGTCAGTTGTCACTTGTGCAGATTGTTGCATTTAAAATACTCTTAGAGATCATTTGGTTAGGTAATCTAAGATTACGTAATGCTAAGAAAGTAATGCCAAGTTACCTTGTTTGATTTGAGTTTTAAGGTAGTCCGAATAAGGTAACCTGTGAAGGAGGTAATGGTGATTGGTGATTACCTTGTTTGGTTCAAGGTTTTTGGATCACCTGAGTAACCTTTTATTTGCGTCCCGTAGGAAAATGAGGTGAGGTGCAATATTGGAGTAATCTGATGTCCCAGGAATTGCCTTTTTTATATCCCATTTTATAGCCTTAAATCAAGTGTGGTTGTATTGGCTCTAAAATGAGAGTAATACTTGTATCATGATTCTATTATCCTAACTTAACACATGAGATAATCTTAGGTTCCGGTGATGGCATCCTATACTTAGTTTATCTTCATCACTTAATGGCATTACCTAAAGTAACAATAGATTCTGTGAATAAAAAAAAGTAATAGCTGAGAAGCAATGAAGATTCAAACTTCAGCATCACATTTTGAAATAAAATAGATATGGAATACTTCAGAAATAAGTATAGTCCTTATTACATACAAGTGCCAGCTACTAACCAGCTCAATTCGTTGCCGAAGTCAAAAGTCTGGCCTCCTTCAGAAGGAACAAAGAGCTGTTTCTGAAGTTTCAGTCGCTGCTGACGCTTGAAGTCGCTGGTGAGAAGCAACCTCGCTTGCTCCAAGCTTTCACGCTCCGGCAACGGCGCTTGTCTCCCCTTAGCCGCCAGAGCGGAACGCGCTTCTTCAGAGAAGCGGTGAATGAGCTTGGTGGAGTACGAGGCGCCAAGGCACACCTGAATGCAGAGCAGCACCGCGGCTGATATGATCGGAATCACCAGAAACCCGGTCTTCATGGTGAGGGAAACGGAGAAGTATGTGAGAGCGAGAGCGAACCCTAGCAGGGAGACGGACGATTCGAGGAAGAGATGTCTAGTTCGCGAATGGAGTGAAGTGAATTCGGCATCGCTTATATAAAGTGATTAACGAGGCCGGATTTGGTTCTTTTTCTCGTTTGGTTTTAGCAATTTCCAGGCGAAACGTGTTCAAGTCGCACGCAGAGAGTAGTACTATCATCATCATGGTTTGCCTCGTCAGGTACATGTCCCGTCAGCCCCACTTCTTCTTACATGATATGAGGTGGTTTTGCTTGCGGACAACACCAAATGAGCTCCTACCAAACCAAACATATAGTCTCACGTTTTCAACCCTCGTCTCTGCACTTTCCACCAATGAAAGCAAACCGGATGACTGTTTATAAAGACCGACGTGGATTTAATGGCCTTTGCTACTCTTTCTTTCCTCACATTAAGGATGTTTTTACCGTAATTTGTTGGTCTGATCTGGTCTGATCTGGTCTGGTCTGGTCTGAACTGGTCTGGTTTCTTTGTATTTTTATAACTATCCAAAGCTGGTCTGGTCTGGTCTGAACCGGTCTGGTCTGGTCTGGTCTGTTTTAGTCTGGTCTGGTCTGGTCTGGTATAGGACGAATTACAGTCCAAGTAAAAACATCCTAATAGTGTATATCTTTTGATTTCAGTTCGTTAGATTAATATTGTCGGGTAGTATTATTCTGAATTATTTCAATTGGTGTGATTCTGAATTATTCTTATTTTTTTATTATATTAATTTAATACGGAGTATGAAGTATTAGTCATATATACTACCTCTGTCCCGGAATTATCTCCTTATTTGACTGGGCACGGGTTTTAAGATAGTGAGAAATGTGTGGTGGAGAGTTGTGCTGAGGAAAGATAAATGTGTGAAGAATGGTTGTGAACCACAAATTCTTTGCTAAAAAAAGAAAGAGGAGATAAATTTGGGACGGACCAAAAAGGAAAGAATGAAGATAATTCCGGGACGGAGGGAGTATAAATTTTTCATAATTGTGTCGTTCCTCATGGCTCAATGTTAATGTGACAGAGATACTATAAAATATTTGTGTACAAATGATATTCTTTGTCCCGCATCGTTTTTAATCATTTTTTATCACGTGTCATATGCACAAGAGAAGAACTACATCTTAAATTGTGAAAATGCAGTTATATTTGTGGTGAGTTTGTTGTTTCCCCTTCACCAAAACCATTTTTTTGGTGTGTTGGATAATGCATTTAAAGATATTGGGAAGCAAGTGTGGAGTGCAAGTGTTTAACACCCATCGGACTGAACCGGCAACCGATAAGTGTGGTTTGTCTCGCCAAATTCATCACATATTGAATGCACATTGGCGGACTTCATATCTGATTAATAAGTATGTATTCCAACATACTTTAATGTGCGGAAGAAAGTTATTGTACACATCACTAACTTAATTTCTTGCATTATTTTGGTAGGATTTTATTATTCATGTTTTACGTGAGTATTTGTATTTTCATAAGGGCTTTAATTAGGTTTGGGGGGCAAATATAATTCAAGATGGAATTTGGAGATGAAAAATACCGAGTTTGAGATTGAAAAATAACTGTGTAGAACACCGTCCAACTCACAACCTTGAATCGGGAAGACACTATGCCTATCATTTTAGCACATCCCTTTGTCGACAAATCCAAATGAAACAACTCAAATTTCACGTGAGAGACAACTCAATGGGCTCCAAATCATTTGAAAACATCATGATGAGAATATGAGAGTATCAAGGTGAAATCAAATGAGGATGTCAGACAATTACCGTTGAGTTTTTAGGATGAAAACCTTTAGCTAGCCACTTCGGTCAAATCTTTTGGTTCGATGATTCAAATCAAGTGATTCAAGTTGTGGTGGATAGAAGATTTCTTTATATATAACTTTGGTAAAGGAGTTATAGCCGAATTAAAAATGAGAAAACATACACACGTGTGAGGACCGCGCATGTATACGTGCACAAAGGGGAATGCTGAAACATTACGAAGGGTGCAGACTGGATGCGCACGAGGCGAGCACGTCGTGCGCACAACCCGCACACAATCCATGCACGTCGTGCGCAATGATGCATTAGAGTAGTAAGACATGTACGCACGTGCTTACAGAATCTTAGTCGGAAGAAGTCGAGTCATTAGTAGAATCTTCAGCAACTGCCTCTGTCGGCGCATCAGTCGCAACGTCAATGAAGGGGACGACTATTACGTTCTGTGCAGCGGCATCGTGAACTTCCCCTTGGGAGGCCATTTCCGAATCAGAGCCGGGGGAGGGTGGATGAGAAGACATATTGCCCGAACACGAAGTAGAAAAAGCAAGAAGAGAAAGGGGCAAAAAATACCTGAACAGGCGAAGCTTAGCGAAGTCCTAGAGAAAAGGCAGTGCAAAAGCACGAAGGGTCTGAAAATTCGAAACCCGAAACCGGAAAGTCTAAAGGCATACTTATAGACTGACAAACGCCGATTCATTGATCAACCAGAAGGAGACACGTCACCAGGAGCGTTTGAGGAGACACATGTCACGCGGAGAAACAATGACCAGCAATCATGACTGTTATGGAAAAACTGAAACGACTGCCGTAATAAGCCGTTGAATCATGGCATTGGGAACCGACGGGGCCTCCTTCGCGATTGTCAAACGGCATAAAACAGATTATTCTACTTCCTTATGCCCTCACTATCGCTCGAGACATCAGAAGTGGGAGACTTATGTTGGGATATTGGGCTGGAGGCCCAAATAGCCGACCCAAAGTTCATGAAGGACCTTGAGGGAGGACGGGCCCATGAAGAACTTTACCCCGAACGGGAACCGGGGTTCACGAGAGTTCACCCCAATATCCCGAATGGGTCAAATAGTATACTTGGATCAGATTGACGACGCCAGCCAGGGCCATTGGCATGCTTCCCAAACGGACAGTCTACAAATGACAATGTGCATTAAATGGTGGAGTATGGTGTCAACAAGTGGGAGCATGGGTGTCTAAGTGGCTTGGAAAGCAACCAATCATCTTAGAGCACCTCATACCCCCACCGGCCCCTTTTTAGTATAAATAAGGACATTAATTACATTGTAACGGGTTCGCATTTTGATACTCAGAGCCTTAGCATAAATCTCTCACTCTTGTTCTTGTATTAGCTACTGTTCCTATGAACACTATTCGGGTAATTCAAGTGTAATCAGTGAATTACTTTAATAAAAGTGGGCTTTTGAGTGCAATATCAATTAGGTTTTATATTTCTTTTATATACTTTACTGTAGCAATCTTACCCTAGATCCAAGATTGGTGTTGGGCCTTCGGGTCAGTCGGGACTTAAACTCAACAACAGTGTTAAGGTATTCACATGGTGACTTGTGTCCCGAACTCTCGCATGCAAGACACATGTCCCAAAAAGACTATGTTAATGTTGTGTGATGGAGTATATGGCCCAGGAACCCACCGGCACACATACTTCCACTATTACATTCAGGTCCAACAGGCCCAAAACGGGCCAAGCCCTGCAAGGTAGAGCCCTAAGCGGCCCACAATACACGAAGGGGTGCCTTCAGCCCCATGGCCGAAGGCTACCGGTGATGGAATTGGGCTCAGAAACATCACAGGGGAACAAGTATGGAAAACCAAGCCTTCGGCAAATGGAGCCCTCGGCACCATGAGGCCCCCGTACGCAGTGCCTTCGGACTATCATCTACAACCGAAGGCATCCTTCTCGACAAAATCTCCCATCCACATGTGCTGGATCAACGTACCAAGTACAAACGTCACATCCAACCACCGCATTTAATGCGGCCACATGTGAGTGTCGGTGCCGCCCCAGTTGAGGTGACCCCTCGACCATCAGATTGTTGACACGTGTCCCTATCTAGCATTTATTGCTGCTATAAATAGCACCCCTTTCCCCATTTGTAAACCACGCTGAATATCATTCGAATACACACTTGAACTCCTTATCTCTCTTACTTATTTGCTCTGACTTCTCTCTAGGTTACTCCCCGTAGTAACCCCTCGGATAAGCTATCCTCCGGGTACACTATCCATCATTTTGTGCTCTCGTTGAGAGGTCGAATAAATCAAGTAAGAAACCCTCCCCTTCAGCTAAAAACACCTATCAAAATGGGAAGAAACACCCGTGCCCAATCCAAGACTCGTGAGGACAGGAACCTGGCCCTCGGCGACGTCGACGCCCCCGAAGCCTCTAACAGGGCTCCCGAGGGCAGCGCCCTCGCTGGGTTGGAACAGACGGCTGTCGACCTGCGCCTTCAGCTCCAACAGAATGCCCCCAATGCCTGCCTTGGCATCGAGGCCAAAAAGAAGGACCAGAGCGAAAACCATGTGAGCCCTCCGGTTCTCACCATTGACGTACAATCGGCATTCTCCGCCTTCATCCAAACTCTCACTCAAAACCCAGGTGCCTTCGGCACGCTGGTACCCCTTCAGCCACAGGTCGGGGAGAACGCCATTCCCCCCTCCTCCGCTCCCCTTCGTGAACCCTATCCTTCGGCTAGGCAACGACGAGGGGGTCGTGGCCCAGGACATCGCTTCTCAGGAAGTCCAATCCCGGGACCGCCATGGCGCAAACAAAGAAAGGCCTTGAACCTCCGCCCTCGAGAGGCTCGGAGGGGCGCAAGACCGCCGAGGGGTCCAAGACCGCCTCGGGGGAAAGGCGCTCCAAAGACCTCAGGAAAGTGGCGGATCCGTCTCAAGGGCAGACGAGAGGCGTCCCCATCAGGACAAAGGCAAGGCACCACTTCATGCCGATGATGCAAGGCATCAAATCAACCAGGCCCCCTCGGCCCGTGTTCGTTCGTAGGGGGCGAAGGCCCTCCCGAAGGATCACATGGACGAGATTATTGCGGCCCTCCATCACCGGCTTGATGAAATGGAGGCCCATCGAGCACATACCGCCGTCGCCACCCCTCATGCAGATCCCAAATATGAGGCCATGATGGCCAAAATGGAGGAGATGCAAAAGAGAATAGTCGAAGGCTCCAGGGAACCCGTCATCCAACTCCGGACTAGGACGCCATTTACCCCAAGGGTATTGGCGGCCCGAATTCCGGAAAAATACCGGGGGCAACCCATCAGGCCCTATGAGGGAAAAACAGACCCCCAGGAGCTTTACAGCCGATATCAAAACAGTATGATGATGGTGGGGGCATCAGACGAATATTTGTGCCGTTGGTTCCTCTCCACCTTAGAGGGACCAGCGTACGAATAGTTCAACCGATTGCCCGAAGGCTGCATCGATTCATGGAAAGAACTCGCCCAACGTATCTTGACGCAGTTTGCACGGAGGCGCCGGTCAAGAAAACACTTCTCCCACTT